ATTTTCTCGAACAGCTTGCCCAGGATCGAGGTAAGGCTGACTGGCCTGTAGTTCCCCGGGTCCTCTTTCCTCCCCTTTTTGAAGATGGGAACCACGTTGGCCCTCTTCCAATCCTCCGGCACCTCTCCAGAGCACCACGAGTGTTCATAAAGCCGTGCCAGGAGACTTGCAATGACCCCAGCCAGTTCCTTTAGGACTCTAGGGTGAAGATCATCCAGGCCGGCTGACTTAAAGACGTCCAGCCCCTCCAGAAGCTATTTTTATTTGACATAATACATTCCTTAAACATCTTTGGCTAGCCAAACATTCAGTTTTTAATTGAAAAAAAAAAGATATGAATGGAAAAGTTTGAAGCATCCTACACGAAGCTGTTAAGAAAAGAATGTGATCATGTCAATTAAAGAAGCTCCCTTCACTTCAAATAATAGATTTCAGTATCACCGACTACAGTTAAATTACTCTGATTTACACTGTTCAAATGATCAAGATAGAAAATGATGTTTATACTGAAAACTAAAACTTTGTAAAAAAAGCAGTAAAATATACAACTGCGGAATATTTTAACATTCCTCATATATAAATGGAAAACCTTGAGAGGCTTTTAGCACTTGTAGATGCAAGTGAACATTGAAGAAATAAATGATATATGAAGTTAATGTATGTTTTTTGACCATTGTGTCAAAGAGACTATCAAGAGAAGCTCATGTCTAGATGCAGCCTTGATTAATGACTAAGAAAGAGATTAGGGAGGTATGAAGATTAGTCACAGTAAGAAGATTACAGTTAAATGTATTCTTGAAATCAAAGTTCTGGTTACCAAAAGAAGAATATATGAATTCAGACAAGGTACCATTATCAATTATCTTTTAACGTATTTGGTCCACACTATATTGCATGTCATCCTATATTTTGTCAGGATTATCTGGACACCTCCCAGTAGAATTTCCAACTCCACTTATGTTAGCAAGAGTCCTAAGGCTGCATCTGTATGCATTACTTCAAAAATGTATTTGTCTGTTGAATTTCTTCTTCATGGTTTTAGAAAGATTGTAGTCCCCAAGATTCAGGGTGAATGGGACCAGAGTATATTAATGCCTTGCCCCTGTCAGTTTGGATACATTTTTTCTTTCCCTGCAAGACATTAGCACACAAAAGTATATAAAATACAGAAAGAACTCTATTAAGGATAGAAACTGATGGTACAGAGTCATAGTTTGGACCATACCTATGAATATTAGAGCTGAATGATAACATACAAGTGCATACTTTGTTTCTGCAATCAAGTGTTGCTCCATTTATGTAACATTTGCTTTGAAATCTGTCAAAGTTCTTGTGGGAGGAGGGGAATAATTGCATAAAAAGTTACTCTTGTTCAATCATCTGAAAAGTTTGGAGTAATTGTATTATATATTATTAACTATGTAGAGGAATATGTGGTTATCTTGCCACACTTGCAAAATCCAGGTGAATTAAAGGCAAAGGGAATGTCAAAGGATTGTGCAAAGCTTTGTGGCTACTATTCATTGGGGCTCTTTTAATGATTAGCCAGATAGGATCCAATTTGTCTGGTTTTAATATAGTCTCATAAACCATTGCAAAAGTTGTAATGGTTTATGAGAATATAATCAGCTAATCAAATTCGAT